GAGAGCAGCTCCACCCCAGCAGCATCCACAGCTGTGAAACCATCCGTGGTGTGAGGTGGCCCGATGTTACTCTGGTTATCTGTGGGGCTTTATAAACTGCGTGGCAGGTGACAAAATTTTTACGTGCTTTTTTGACAAAGTTTCAACGGCACGCGGGTGAGCAGGAGGAGGATGCTGACCTTTGGATCGGATACTCGGCCTTTCATTTGGGTGACTACAAGAGAGCGCCAGCTGTGAAACCATCCGTGGTGTGAGGTGGCCCGATGTTACTCTGGTTATCTGTGGGGCTTTATAAACTGCGTGGCAGGTGACAAAATTTTTACGTGCTTTTTTGACAAAGTTTCAACGGCACGCGGGTGAGCAGGAGGAGGATGCTGACCTTTGGATCGGATACTCGGCCTTTCATTTGGGTGACTACAAGAGAGCGCTGGAGGTAAGGTGGGGAAATCCTGCTCCTTGAGGCTGGAAATCGGGATGTGGTGATACAACGATGACAACAGGAGGAGGATGCCCTGTAATAGGGAGCAGTTCTGCCAGCCAGTGAAGGTACAAATGTGCTGTGGTAAGGCAGATGCTATGGCAAGTAGTTTGGATTGGGGGAAAAAAAAAAAAAAAGGTATTTGGCTATGAAAATAGGCCTTTTTTAATGTTACCTGCTGTCTGATTTAATACTAGGACCAGTAGCCTAATTTGCCCTTTTAAATGTCATAGTTCATGTCCTAAATTTTCCATCCCCTTTTTGCAGCTAGCTTTCTACAGTTTTGTTTTTCAAGTTTAATTATGTCTTTTACTTCATTGTGTAGCTTATCTGTAATATGCATGCTTTTTTAATTCTTTCTATAGAGGTTGATGCCCCTGGTCATTTAATGTACTTCATTGTTCTTTATGTTTTCTTGTATTAGATAATTCAAGGAAATGAGACATTCTTATTCTCTGAAAGCTTTAAGTCATTAAAAGACATGTTGATTGTTCAAATATGCATACATTTTTAATACTTGCACCATACAGTCCTGTTGTGTCTCTTTCAGTGTATAAGTCTATGTGCAATTCTTTCTCTTGTGACCATTTATGTCTCCAATGAAACTCAATTTGCTGCCAATCAGTTTGTTGCCAGTGTCCCTGGGATCCCTTTAGCTCCTTCATTGTGCTAGCATGTTTCTCTGTAGAAGCCTTAACAATTTTTTCTTGTCTGCCTTGCTCTGTACCTCCAAGGGCTGGAATCATTGTGCACGCCAGAACCAGTGACTCTTGTGGAGTGGTGTGGTGATACCCACAAGGCTGCGTATAAGCCAGTGAGGATTTGAAAACAACTCAGTCTGCCTGAGTATTGTTTGTCTCATTGCTGTATTCCTATCGATGTGAATTGCTGTGTCCGTACGATGCTGTATTGCACCGCTTAAGACTTACTGGTTTCAGTCAATGTCAGCCGAGGGAGATCTCCATCACGATTCACTGTGAAGCGTAACTGTAAAGTACAGCTGGTTTTGTAGTCTCTTAACTTGCTTTCCCTGAAAGAAGTATTAAAAATGGGTGATAGTTTAAAGTATTAACAAAAGAAAATAATCATAGAGAAATAGCTTCTAGAACAAGGATGATATTTTCTCTCTTAGATTAAATTAGGTGTTTATAGTAATACATGGTCACGTGCACAGGATTCATACATGAGGCGGAGACAGAATTTCTCAAGCTTCCGAGTAAATTCACAAGGCACTTCCCCCCCCCCCCCTTACAAAATTGAAGACAAACATATTAGAGATGTTAGAAATGCTCAGTGAATAAATTTGACAGTATACATAGTATAGAATGTAGAATACTAGTACAGGATGTAGTGGTAACTTAACATTCATGTTTAGAATATATATATAAAGATTATGAATATCACAATCAGTTGCAGTAATTAATTTTTATCTAGATGTTAGGTGTTGATAGTGAAAGTTTTAAAAAAAGAAAAATGTTTGTATACAAATGAAAAATAGCTTGCAATTTCTTTGAAATAAATTCTGCTATATGGAATACCGAGTAGATGTTTTTATAGCCAGAGCAGATTTTAAATGTTTCCTTCAAGAAAGGGTAACGGCGGTTTGGGTTTTTTGTTCAGTTTGGGTTGTTTTAGAGATCAGGTTTGTGTGTTGGGGTTTGATTTGCCACTAGGTGATGCTGCTGATTCGGGCTTCTAAAGACTGCCGCACAGTCGTCGACTTCCCGTTTTTCTGCCCAAGTAGGGACAACAAAAGGTTTGCATGCCTGGTTTGTGGTTGGTTTGTTTGAGCGCGTGGTTTAAGTGAGAGATCATAGGGCCTATCTTTTCAGATTTAAGACTGTTTTTTGGCACAGTGATGAGTCCTGATAACTTTGCCGTTTTGCGGTGGCATGCAGGAAATGAGCCTGCGCATCTCAACCTGGTTTCTTTTGGGACAGAACACCAAAGTTGTAATTCCCAAGGCTGCAGTAATCACAGCAAAGAGTGCTGACTGTGGAGGCTGAATTGCCTTTCAGTTATCAGCTTCAAGGCTGAAGGGTAATGCTGTATCTTCTCTGGTACGTTACAGAGGCATTGTTGATATATTCTTAAGGACAAATTCCTTGATTATCTGTACCCTCTAGATCTTGGAGCACTCTTTGGGGAGTACCAAGGGCACTGTAAATAAAAAAAAAAAAATCGTAGAAGATTCTGCAGATTTCTATAGAGTGACATAACACACGGTCTAAATGATTCATGCTCCGAAGTGCCTGCAAGTGACAATGCACAGTCTGTGTCATGATATTGCCAATTCAGGGTTTGTGTTCCGTATACCTGATGAAGGTCTTCAGAAATTAAGTTGCTCAGTAATCCTTTTATTTGTAATGATACTTTCATAGTGACCCAGGTGAGCTGGTTGTGGTGGCAACTTTTGGAGAGGCTTGGGAATTGGGCTGAGGTCGCCATCATCCACTACTGGGAGAAACAGGGAAAAAAATGAAAAGCACTCAGACCTCCAGCTCCAAGAATATTTTCAGAGAAAATGATAGCTAACTATCTGGCACATTCACATGAGAGAATTCACATTCTCTTATCAGAGGCACACCAACAGCCAGGTATTCTCTAGGTAGAGTGCTAACCTCAGCTTCACTAGGGCCATACTTTCCCCTTCTTAGTAGGCAGATGCCTTTCTCAAAGGATATGCCACCAACACTGGTCTGGTGGGATTGTCCCTACTGCTGTACACCAATTTACAAATGGTACTGCACTGGATTCAACTGTTCCAGCCGTCATGGTGGCAGTCCCTCTCTGGGGACCATCTAGCTTCCTTCACTGACAGATTAATGTTGACTAACGCTGAGTGGCTAGAGTCTTCCTGGCATCGTATGTCAACCAGAACTCACCTAGTGGATGGCAGCATCTAATTAGTTTTCTGGAGTCTTCCACATCTACTATCCCTAATGGGGGAAAAAAACAACCTGTCTTTCTGCCATTACTTGGTTATGACACTTAATCTTAAACCTTTCCTGAAAAATTTCCTAGTGTCACCCCAGGAGCAGAATCAGAGCATCAGTCCGATGATTCTGTTTCTGAGCTGCCTGATCTTATAAAGTGAAGCAGCCAGGGCCTAAGAAATGGAGGGTTGTAAGACATATTTGAGATATTGACAATTTAAGAGAGGAATTGGCAAAGGCAGGTGCACTTCTAGGTTGGGTTAAAGAACAGGTTTCACATTTGCACTATGCACCCTCTGACTGGGCTTAGGCACGCAGGATGGATGCTGGCATGGTACAGCTGCCAGACATGGTAATGCCATTTTGGCCCATCAGCCGCACACGTGAGAGCAAAGGACGATCACCAGGCCAGAGCCTTCAGTGCATTGTTTCTGTCAAAATCTCAGAAACTACAGCCAGCAATTCTGACAGTCTCTCCTATCTGCAACCTGTCTCCTAGCAAAGAATTGGGAGCCATTCCACCTCTTGGCTGGATGGGACCTCCTGTCTACCCTAACTTTGCTCAGGATAATTTCAGTCAAATAGTAAATCATGAAATGAACGGGGCTGTACTAGGGTAGTGAGCAGTATCTGGTCTTGCTGGAGTACTTCTGCTGCAAGTGTGAGAATACAAGTACACTCAAGTTCCTGACAGCTGAAGCTAGAAAGTAGAAGATGGATTTTTGGCTCAGGAAAGTTCTCTAGGCTTCTCTGTCATGACTGTAGCCAGGTTATGATGAGTATCTCCACACCTCCTTTGAGCACTTGTGGGGCAGCCCTGTAGGTTGGCCTGTTTATTGGCTTTTCAGGATCTGTGTTTATGGGCTTGGAGAGTCCAGACAAGTAATAAGGGCACTGAGCAGAATCCTGCTGGCCTCAGCATTGTCAGTAGGTGTCCATAGCTGTAGGCAATCAACCTGGGAGCCTGCTTTTGAGGAAAAGTGTGTATGTCTTGTGGTAGACGTGAGAGGTGGAGGAGGGCAAAATAGCAAGAAGTTGTTACACTCCTGGTTGGCAAAAATGTGCCACAGGTTGAATATTGGGAAAGCTTTTGGAGTATTTAGTTTTTCTTGTGCAGTAGTCTTTGAGAGATTGACGTTGAATGCCTTTTAGTGAGGAAGGGGGAAACAGCACATAGTCTGGGCTCTTGGCCCAGAACTGCAGGGCAAGGAGCACTAATAGCCCTCATTTTTATTTACTGTGTTTCCATAGATTCACATTGGTGCTGCTAGAGCCCTCATTATTTATTGCTTGCTTTGAATGGCCAAGCCAGAACATGACTTGTGTCTATGCACTTTATCTTTTCTAATTAATCTGCCTGAAGCCATAGCTGAAAGAGACCTTTGGGTGCATTTAATCTGAACGAATTTTGAAAGATTCCAGATGGTCCCAATAAACAGCAGTGGCCTGTCTCTCAGAGCTCTGTGACAGGCCTGTGTCAAGATTGAACTGGCCTCAGTAGGAAAGGCTGGCCTCTATGTAAATGTTTTCTTTTTTTTTAATATTTATTTAATTAATTAATTATTTATGCTAAATCTTATTGAAGGACAGCTAGTCCCTGAAGTGCTAGCAAGACTGAGCTAGCTTTTAAGGGCATACCTTACCAATAGCTTCTCTGTTTGGGAGTGCTTACTTTCACTTGGCAACAGAAAAAAAATTCTTTATGCTTGCAGACTATAAACTTCATAGTTGTCAGCATGTTTCTGTTCTTGGGATTCGCTGTCCTTTGGGCATGGCTTATTTTATCTGGTGCTATATATATATGACTGTGCCTTTTCCCCAGAGGTAGGAAGTCTTCCACCCGCGGTGGCACAATCTTGTAAAACTCTCCCTAGGCAGAGGGAAATTCCAATTCATATGTTTGGAGGAAGAGTACAGAGTCGGCAAGGGGTTGCATTGCTGGGATGAGGATCTTACTGTAACTGGGAGTATGTGGATGGCATTCTTGCAGCAGGCCTTGTGAGAACCTTGCGTGACCCTGCATTATGCTGTCTGTTGGATGTGGCTGGATGGAGAGCAGGAGGCACTTTCAGTGGGATGTCCTTCCTAATAATTTAACAGAAACCTGACAGGGGAAAAAAAATGGCATGGAGAGGTCTCCCTGCCTCTGTTTTTAGTATCTGTTGTTATGCAAAGCAAAGATGTTTATCTTCAGGAATACCACTGGTTGGTAGCTGCAAAATTTTTCTTCATTAAAAAAGTAGATTGAGAGATTCATCTGTTAGGTTTTGACAGTTTCACAAATAACAAGAAATTAAGCAGTTTATGTGACAGTATTAAGGGATATGCAATGAATGGGGATGTATAAGAAATATCAGAGATGGTATCTAGTGGTTTTCTATAGCTGTTGGCTGTAAGTCTTAAAACAGGAAATGGTGAAGTTAGGCACAGTTTAGTAATATTTACTATAATTATGTCTTTATCTATTAAGCAAACTTTAATTTGTCCAGTACCAACTTGTAGGCTTGTATTTTAATGCAGTGGTCTCCAAACAATTTTGATCTTGCACCCTTATCAGTAAAAAATTTCTGAGCATGCTCCCCCAATGTACATACATATATATATTTATAAATTATGTATGTGTGCTACTATATTATGTAATTATAAAACATACACAAAAACAGAAATTAAAAAAGGACCCGATGGTATTGTCTTGTACAACCGCTGGGATGCACACACCCCACTTTGGAGGCCACAGTTTTAATCTATACTAAGATACTACCTGCAGGTTTATAAAAGTGTGTTTAACACTTGTGCTGGTAAGTATTCACAAAGAGATTTCCCTGGTGTTTATGGCTCCCAGGCTTGGACTGGAAGGGAGGTTAGAAAAGCATCAGAAAAGACTGAGGAAAGTTGGTTATGTTGATGCCTTTAACAATTTAATATATTTATAATAATATATAAATATACAATAATATAAATACATTTTTATATATTTATAGCTTCAATATTGACAAAATTCATGCTACTACAGTGAAGATTTATAGCACTGCTTGTCGCTGTTGTCTGTTCTATTGCTGTAAACAAAAAAGAGCTCAGGACATAGGTTAAAATGTAATAGTTTCATTGTAAGAACCGCAATGAACTTGAGAATAAGTCATGTGATCTCAGTAATTTAACGATATGTTGTAAAATGGCAAAGAAAGAAAGATAATACAAGTCTGTGCTATTATGCATTTTGAAAAAATCGTCCCATTCTTCTGTTACAGGAATATGAGGCCTTAACCAAACAACCAGCTTGCAATCCAGATGTCTGGGTGAACCTTGCCTGTACGTACTTCTTTCTGGGAATGTATACACAAGCTGAACAAGCAGCTTTGAAAGGTGAGATGTATGTCTCTGATGGAAAGGACTACTTGTTGACTTGAACACTTGAAGTGGTTTCCAGAGAAGATTTTCAGTACTTTTTTTTCATAGGGATAAAGGATAGTATTGAGCAAAGATTTTTGATTTGGGGTTTTTTGTTTTGTTTCATTTAATAGAGGAGTTATGATGCAGTTTGCTTCCTAAAAATACCTTGGGCAGGTAGAGCAGCTGGAATTGAAAGAAGCATCTGGAAAATAATTTCTCTTATTAATTCCTAAATACAAAACCCAACATATGCTGACCAGCAACAAAAAGTTACTTTTCTTTTGACTGATTCGATGTCTCTGAGCCAGTGCAGATGAAGCTAATTAGGCTAGTGAAATTATTTTTAAAAAAAAGCATCTGATAGAGTTCAGCGTTCTCCCTGATGTGGACAAGAACTCTGTTTACACAGTGCGAGTGACTTAGCCTGTGGTCTTGTTGCCTTATAAGTCAGATATTAGGTGTTTGATTCTTCAAAGCATGGAGTTCACTGCAGTCACATTGTTACAGTTCTACTTTAATCTGAACAGACAGGATCATTTAGAGAGGAGGAATGGAAATTAGATACCAAGGACATTTTTGCTGCCTAGAAATGTTTCTGCAGTTTCATTCTGTTATCCATCACTTTCTGTTTGTCTTAGTGATTTATATTTTTTCCAATAACCACAGTATCTCAGTGCTTTCTAAGTAGGATTAATAGCAGTGATGTTCTCAGTCAACTTCTGACTCTTGCCTTTTTAGGATAAAACCCTTATTGAAGTATGGGTTTTCTCCTTTCTTTCTTTAGTCCTCTAGTCTTGGGCTGAAAATAGGGTGGGGAGAAAATAATTGTGTATTTTCTTCTACTGTGGAGGAGTGCCTTCAAAACGGATGGTATTGTAGTATTTTTTAGAAATAATTAGATTCTTGTATCTCTTTAAAATCCTTTGAGAGATCATGCTGAGTTAAAATCCCACAACGGAAATGTTTTGTTTCCAACTGTAAAAAGTTTCATGCAGAGCTTTCTCATCTGTATTGTTCAAGAGGTGCATAAACTTCTAATATTCACAGATAATTAATCTTTAATGTACCACAGATTTGAACTTTGGAGATTACAATCTAGGATTTGAACTGGAATCTAAAAATAGTTGGGCAGTAGAGCCTGAGTTGTCATTTTGACCTAAACTATGGAGGAAACAAGCGGCTGCATCCTGTAGTAGTTGGAGTCATTGTCATCAGCTTCACATCATGTGACTTGCAGTAATCTGTTCTCGACATGATAGATAGACAGCTGGGCATGCGCCTTTAACTGTGAGCTGGAAGTGAGGGAAGGTTAACTTTTTCTTGCCCCTTCACGTTAGTTTGTAATAGCATGGTGAGTGGCAGTGTCAGGAGTGCGGTTTGTAGTACTCAGGTGCTGGAGGAAAGGGCAGGAATATTAAAAAAGGGGTACAAGACATAGGGAGTGTAACTGAGGGAGGTAACAGAATAACTGAGTGCTCATGCTAGTAATATCAGTTCCTGATTTTAGGTAATTTTTTAAGAAGGACAGCATGCCAAGTTTTACACTGAGGTAGTAAACCTTTCTTGTGAGTACTGTAACAGTAATGATTTCTGGCTACTTAAGCTTGGTGGGGAGGCAGTCACAGCTGAAGATTTGTAACACTTGTTGTTTCTCCATTGAAGGCTTCCAAGTGTTGTATATTCCCCAGTCCACTCCCATCACTTCAGTCTTCCTTACATTGAGGTTGAACTATCTTAGTTTCACTCAAGAGAGATCCTCTTTTAGGTTTTTTTAACATCTTAGGGTTGCATCGGTGATGGCTGTTCACAGTTCACAGCTGAGGCCATAAGATCTTGTGATCTCTTCCATGATTTTGCAAAGACCCTGAAGAAGCAAAATATTTCATTGGATATAGACACAACAGGTGAAGTCTCTAGCAGAACACAATTTATCCAGTACTGTCTTGAATACTGCTGAAAAAATGATAGGTAGTGTTAGTGTTGGGCTGCTTACCATTGCTATTTTTGGATTATCTTGCCTGAATTCTTGCATACTGCTTGTTGTTTATTGCTGTAGTTATGCCAAGCCCCTGAAAGTAGCATAGTGCTAAAACAAATGAAGGAGAAAGAATTTCTTTTCAGCTATAATTCTAAATTTCTACAGTGATGGAATCTCTGTGTGAAAGGGAACATAAATGTCAGCTAGCTTTCTGGAGCAGATTTTCCACACAAACATGTAAATATATAGAAACCAAATAGAAGTTCCTCTTGCCATGTACTGGTGCTGTTACTTAAAAAAATTATTGTGAACTGTCTGAGGAAAAAGATGCAGGATAGTTAAAAATTAGGAAATTAGCATTAAAAGCCATGAGGTAATTATTGCATTTCATATAAGATATATAGTCCATAATCTCTTGTGGAGCAAGGTTTTATGTTTGTTTTATAATAGATGTGAAATGTTCTTTTAGCTGTCGTTACTTAATTAAAACTTCATGGTACATTCTCTCAGGAAAGAATAAATCTGTGTATCAAAAGTAATATAAACCAGAATTACAGTAAATATAACCTAAGAAGTAGAGCAAAAAGGCAATAAAGAAAAATCCTTCTTTGAAGGTTTTTCATTACAGTTGTACTTTATCTATCTCCTCTAGGCTTTTTTCCAAATTCCTTTCAGATATTTCAGGCTTCTCCTTTTTCCCTGCTGTGCCCTTACATTACAGTTACTAATGTTCCTGGATCTGAGGTGAAGGCAGAGTTACTTCAAGTCAGCTACTGTTGTTTCATAGTCATTCCATAGTGAAGCTGCCAAGTGATGCTTTGTTTACTCCTTTTGCATCTGTGCTCTCATGCATTGGCTGAATATATGTTTTCCGTGCTTTGTGCTAGCCCATCTAGTCTTGGGAGAATGAGGTTGAAAGTCTTCATCTTGGTCTAATAAATAATAATAATGAAAAAATACTATTTTTTTAATTATAAAAGCAAATAATCTTATATTGTATTTCCAGTTTCTGTGCCTCACAAAGGACAAGGACCAGAAACTCAGCCTGGCACACTTACACAGCGATCCTGGCAACTGATCCTAGTGTTTAGAAGCCTGCATAGGGCTTTCAGAAGCCTTGGGCTAGCACTGCAAAAACACAAGAACTAACAGTGTTCTTTTAAACCACAAAATGTGCACATAAGTGGGGCTGCAGTTAAATATGTTATGAAAAACAGTCTTTTGGGGATAAATGGAATTTTACAATTAAATTTAAGATTCACGCACAAGCAAGGTTATGTTGCTGAACCAGTAATTAAGTTCTTCCCCCTGCGCTCCCCCACCCCTCACCCCGCCACCTTCAAATATTTGATGGGCAAAGCTTTGTACTTTGCAATTCTGCGTGTGTGAGATCTGCATGTGGTTTAACTGAACAGAGATACTTCTTGTTTCATAGCCTATACTGGAAGGAGCAATATCGTACAAAAGCAGAACAGAGATGGGTTTCCAAACCAGTTTTGCTTATGCATGTACTAATGTTTTCCAGGTGTCAGATAGTTGTCACTAGTGAAAATAAGCAGTTACAAGTGGGCATGGAAAAGTTGCTGGTTTTCTTTTTCTTTAAACTTCATGTTCACCTACATGCAAAACTACCTGCTTTCTGCTTGTATTGTATTTCTTGAGAACAGTAGTTCATTTTCATTGCATTTTAGCTGTGGTTTTAAACCATCAGAGTTTGATATACAGAACTTTCAAAGGGCACAAATGAAGATACCAATTTATACATATTTAAACTTTAAAATCTACTAACATAATTTTTCTTGTTTTGCTTTTTAAAGCATAGTGGAAGCTACAGAACAGGAATAATTGATAGTTGTTTGCTTCAATGATCTTTAACTTACAGTGCTTAGGTATGACTGAAATGAAATGTGTATATATTGCAAGTAACTAAAAGTAGGTGAACTGGCTTTAAAGTATTTTGGGAATGGGAAAATTTCAATGAATGTCCTCTGTAAATTTCATTCAAGAAAATTCTGAACAGTTCAGCTATTTAAGTGTGTGTAAGTGTGAACCTCACTGTTGGACCATGTTTTTTCCGAACATTTTTCCCATACCCTTGCATTTTCCCTCCACCAGTGAGACTGTGGTTCTGAGGCACAGAGGGCTTCATTCAGCTGCTGTATTCAGGTGAGCAGGGCGTTGTTTCTCAGGGACAGGAGAATGAGGTTTCTTCTGGTCATATTTTCTATGCTGTCTGGCTGGAGCCTTCTCAGCACAGTTCCATTCCTACCAGTTCCTGCCTATGTATATTTAAGATGCTTTCTACATCTGTTAGTGTGTGAAATCCTGCTATAGCATATGCATTGTGATTGCTAGATGGGATTTGTTAGTGCTGGATGCATGACCAGCATTGCCTTGCACTCTTATGAGAGGGCACAAATGCCAGATTGTCCATGACTTCATGGTTGTCATCATGAAGTTCATGTTCATCATCTTCTTACTGCCTGTGGCAGCAATATGGAACCCAGCAAGAGACTGAAATGCCGTTTCTAGTGAGCTTAACGTTTTGTTTAATAATTAGTGAAGACAACTGTCTTCATTCTTATTGTAGCTGTTTATTGTACTTGAACAAATACTTCACTAGGTGCCTAATCAGTGTCAGCACATAAAAATATACAGAACATTTTTAAGATCAATGTCAACTATGACCTGAGTGCCTGGAACATCAGCACTGATCGTGACTAAAATTCTAGCGTTGGAATATCAGTGTGTTTCCTAGCTGGAAAGCAATATATCCTATCCAGCTACCTCAGTGATGTCTTCAGCACAAGGCCAATACTAGACCTGCAGCAGGGTCCAGTTTGTTGCCATGCAGCGTTATCATCATGTTTGTTATGATCCCTAGATTGCTTAGTACTGATTAAAATAATTTTTAAAAAAAGTATAGTCGTCTTCTTGAAAAAGTAGGACAGGACAAGAAGATTGTGCTTCCTTGTGGCATTAATAGGTCAGTGACAATGAAATTTGGTAGCAGTAGAGAGTAATAAAAGAACAAGCAGAATGTCCCTTAAAAGTCATTATCTCTGGCGAGGCAGTTGTATCACTTCCTGCTCCAGTGACTGACAACAGCTTTATCCAATATTTATAAACAAATCCTTTCTGGAAACTAACCTGAACTTGTTCATATGTTTCCTTGTCTTCCTCAAAAAAGTGTATTTGGCACTGGCAGAAAAGAAACTGCTGATACTGAATGTTTCTATGGCTCTGCTTACTATATCAACAGGACTATATTTTTTTTGGTTTTGCCCCTCTCCTTCTCTGGCTGGCATTAAGTAAAATGTCTTACTTTAAAGAATACTGAATGGATAGTATCATGTAATATCTTATGAAGCAGGACATTTATTCTCCCTCCATATATCTATACACACCATCAGAACTCAGGTTTCCTCTTTTCCCTGTTTTTAGGTGTAAAATAATGTGGAGTAAGCCTCCAGCTTTTGCCAGGAAGTAAATAATAATTTTGATGTCAGATCAGATGCCAAGTTTCCAAGGGTAGCACTGCAGTCATTGGTTGACCAGTGAAACAAGAATTCCTCAGTTTAGATTCTTCAGGAAGTATTGCTTGCAAGTCACAATTTTCACAGTGAAATTAATGCAAAAACCCACTCAAAAAAAGAAACAAAACCTACTCAAAAAGGAACGTTGGTGTCTTTACCCATACCACCATGATTATACAATATGTTATTTTCAATGTAAATCCCACAATCTGTCCTCCTTGTATTTTTGGAGTGTTTAACAACCAAATGTTTTGAATTGTGAAGGATGGTTATGTTTGGTTGAAGTTGTGCACAAAAGCACATGTGGGGTCCATGTGCAACCCTTCTAAACTTTGATATTAAAACCTATCAGTTAATGCTGGGGCATATGTGGAGTTACCACAGTATCATTGCTGACAACAATTTGAAGAACGTGCATTTAAATTAAGGTACTCTAACTTTCTAACTCAATGGATGAAATAATTACTAGAATATACTACCATGTCAGTTATACTACTACTGCTGCTTATACAATATTGTTTGTAGATCAGAAAAACTTTCCACTCTTTAATAATTAGGCTAATGAGAATTGCCACATATATCCTAGATTGAAGACCATTTAGCTTCTTAACAACTTGATGCTCTGTCAATACCTTGCAAGATGTGGGTTTTGTGAGACCTCTCATATCGCCTTTGTCTTTTGGGACTTTCGGGACTTCTATGTTCTAGCAGTTCTTTAAAGATACAGTTCACTGTCCTCTTTGTCTAGGAACATGGTTAAATAACACAGCTTGGGAAGGAGAAAAGGGGAGCAATAATTGCTGTGCCTATCAGAAGTAGGTAGACAGCCTTACAATGTCAACCCAATGAGAATGGCTGGGGTTTTGGCATTGTTCACTGTGTTGTACAGTTTGCTTACTATGTCGAGAAAGAGTAAGAAGTCTGGAAAGCAAAAGTGCTTTAAAAAAAAAAAATCTAACTTATTACTAGAAAATTCCAGGAGGGGAAGGGAAGAGGTTTTGGTGGTTTGAGTCCTCTTTCATGGTTTAGGATGTCAGAAGAATTATAGCCTTGTGTTACAGGCCATTGCTTTGCTAATTCTGCAGTTTTGTGGCCTCATAAACACAGTAATTCATTCTGCTTTTTGTACAGATTCCGTGTACATCCTTTCTGTGGAACATAGGTTGCCAGCTGGTTGGTCTGAGCAAGAGTGAGAGTGCTCATTAACTGAGTAGGCTAAAGAAAATACAGGAAACAAGGGAAGGCTTTTTGGAAGACTGCTTGCAAAAGAAATTAATAGCTCTGTTGGACAAGGACCTTTGTCACTCTCGATGAAGCACAAGGCTCTCTCTAGTGACTTAAAGCCCTACAGTTAACAACTTGTGTCATACGGAGTGAGTTAATCCTAATCCTGCTAGAGCAAGAAATTTCATTAACTTTTAGTGGTTCTAGAAATGTCTCCCTTAACTCTCAACACATTTTAGTCTAAATCTTATCTGCTGTGACTGCAGGATTCTTCCATGTGCCTTTTGTTCCTAAAGACAGAAGAAATAGTAGAACTAAGTGTAATACAATGTGCATACAAAACAAAATTGTGGCAGAGATGGGTTTTGCAATACACTGGAAGTTGACAAGATTCCTAGAATTATGAATCACAACTTACTTCAAATATGATCTATCATAGAATGAGCCTTGATTATGAGTTTGTCTGTTGCTGCTTTTTATTTTGTAAAAGATGCTGTGCTGTGTGTCACTTGTGCAAAAACTATCCAGAAGGCCCTGCAGGCAAATGATAGTGCAATTCACAAAAGTTTTAAGGCTCATGGAAAACAGAGACCAATAAGAAGTCATTTTCAACAGGGATTTCAAAAGAAAAGAGCAGGGAATGAAGATAAGAAGCAGGAAGGCCTTTCAACCACTCTAAAATTGGTTAAACCTGCCCTGGGGCATGACCTGCAAAGAACTGTACCTGGGCTAGCCAATGAAAGAATATGAGTGCATGTGTGTCTATTGAGAAAGGGAGTTAAAAAATAAAAGAGACACCTTGAGTTGTTCTTTGCAGCGATACTTACTGAATTTTCCTTTCAGCACCTAAGAGTCGTCTCCAGAACCGTTTACTCTTTCACCTGGCACAAAAGGTACGATGTCTTTTCTTCAGTCATGCTTTGTTTGTTTTCTTTTCAGTTGGGTAATGTGCAATTCATGCTGGCAACCTAGCAGAATAATTAAAATGTCTGTGGTGGCAGGAGAACAAACGTTTTCCACAACCATCCTACTCTATTCAAATGTGGAGGAGAAAGTAAATGTGAAAACATGATCTCAGAATAGATGCCCTCAGCATGTTTCTAAGGAAAGTCTTACCAACTCATTTCACATACATCATACAACAGGAACCTGGTGGTATTTTTGATCACAGGGAACCTGAGACAAATAGAATCAGGAATTTATAAGCTATTTTTCTTCTTCTTTGAAGCATACCAAGTTTTCCTAACTTGCAGCTGTCTTATACTTAGCAATTTGAGCAAAATGGTCTATATGCTATTACTGATCCTCCTAAGTCACTCAGTATCCAAGAAGTAATATTTATGTCATGAAATTTACTTCATCAAAAATTAAATGCTTATTTCACTTACCACACATAGCTATGTTCCCTTTTTGTACCATCCTGTATTGTACTTAGTAAGTACTATGCTGCTGAAGAGACTGAGTTTTGGGTGAAAGAAGGTATAAATCCTGAATATTAGCTTTGATGACAGATTGTCTTTGCTTAAATCTGTTAAGAGAAGAATCTTAGGACATTTCTGTAGCGGCACTGGCTTTTACAGATATATGTGATAAAGGGAAGTTGAATAATTCCTAGTTAATATAGTTAGTCTTTGAAAATAATGGGGTTTATGAAACTATGAAGCCCACTGTTGTTCTGTTAAGCAACTTCTCTTGCCTTTGTGTTGGAGTATCATTCTGTGACTGGCTCAAAGAGGGAGGAAAAAGATTTGACAAAAGCTGAGCAGATAAATGAAAAACAAATATGTAAGATAGAATTTGTGTGTAAGAGAAATTCATAATTACCGTTGAATCAGCAGAATCAGCAAAGGGAAGCTCTAGAATCAGTGATTTCAGTAGACTGATTAGGTTAATATCCTCAACTTTACTGTGTAATACAAATGTAATGGATGTGTTTAACTGTGTTTCTTATTTTTATCTTGGTGTGTGTGTTACGTGCTATACAGTAATGCTTGTAAAAATAAAACATTTAGTTAAAGAAACCAGAATTTTAAGGTGTTGATGAAAGAGAATTTGTTAGTGCTGTAAAGAAGTCTTGTGAAAATTAGTGCTATTGTGTTGGCAAGCCTTGCATTTTTCTGCTATCCATGAGAAATAAGATTTGGATCTAGAAACAGCAAAATTTCTGCTGGCTTGAACAGTAACAGTCAAATCTTGTGTTACAAAATTCCGTTTGTGAAATAATTAATTCAGCTCTTCTCCTCTTATCCATCAAGGCACATGACATGTAATTATGTCTAAATCACACCTTGAAGGAAAATGTGTACTTGGTTTTAGCCTTACATTTATCTAGTTTCGACTGGTCTGCCTCTTTAATGTTTGGCTTTCTCTACTGGTCAAATTAACTTTAAAGTAACAGAGGTTTTCCAGATGTTTAATGTGAATCACCTGCTGTTTGCCAGCAAGGACAAAACTAATCCAGCTAATTAGTTTAAAACGTTGTGTTTTTTTTTTCTCTCTGAACTCTTCTGAGAATGTGTCACACTCTTTTTTAGTTCAGTGATGAGAAGAATCTGATGAGCTGTCACCAGAATCTGCAAGACATTACAGAAGATCAGCTTAGCTTGGCATCTATCCACTACATGCGGTCCCACTACCAAGAAGCTATTGATATCTACAGACGTATTCTTCTTGCTAATCGGTGGGCATCTCTACTCTAAACCTTACTGTAGTGTCTCTGATACTGTTGGTGTTTGCATTCCATTTAGCTGCTTGGTTTCTGAAAGTAGGAATTTTACCCTATTACTATGTCCCTTTCCCACTGGAAAATGTGCACAAGTTTCAAGGCCCTCAATTTTGTTGATTGCAAATCATTACTGAAAAATGCATGTTTAAAAAGAAGTCTGCTCTCTGTTGTTTTCTTTTAGTGATGTTTTCATGTAATTCATTCGGAGATCTTTTTGTATTTTCTTACTTATTTCTTCTGAAATGATACTTGGTTATGTACCTGCTTGGTCTTTCTCTTTTCTTCTCTTCCTCTCTGATGGCCAGTCTGGTGACCCTTGCTTGTGATTACTGACTTCTCCTTCACCTCTTAGTCTTTCTAGGAAGTGTTCAGTTCTTGGTTTTTACGTAGAGAGTTCCTTACATTCCATTAAGTCTGAAATTCTTTCCATTTCCATTTATGCTGCTATGATACTTGTTGATGTTTTTTTCTATCATATTCTTCAAGTTCTTAGTTCAGGATTTAACAAGGAACAAATTGAATTCTTAAGTGGCTAGAAGTATTGTTTAATAAAATTGAAACTGCTGTCCCAGAATACATAGCTATCTTTTGGCAGTATCTCCTCTTGAATGCTTCAGAGAAGTCCATCATAATGTATATAAGTATGTCATGTAATGCTTGGGGAAGAGATTTTAGCTTCCAAGTCCTGTAGAAGCAATCACTCAAAGCTAAATGAGTAACCTTCATAACAATTATCCTTTATTTACTGTTACCACAAATGCCTGTCTTATTTCTGTGTCTCGTTCTTCTGGCTTGATAGCTTGTGATGGCAAGGATTTTTTGAAATAAGTGTGCTTGGTATAAGATAATAAGATCCATTAAAATGTTTTCAAAGTCTTATGTACATATTAAATGTCTTTGCACATATTGTGGAGAAAATCCTATTCTGCCAGGCCAAATGCAGTGCTCATGTTTTGTGCATTTCCTTAGTGTGAAGTTGCCACCATTTCCCAGATTTGCAGACCAACAGTTTTGTAGGTAATTCTTTAAAGCTGCAGTAGCTGCCATTGAAAAAATTAGTGCGAATCTGGATCTGTGCCATCTTACCTAACTAACTAGAGCTCCAAAGATACCTAATAAGCATTTCTCAGAAACTCCAGTTTTGATGTGCTTGTGAAAGGTATACAGACATGTGAGAACTTTATCGCTGATTTTAATGTTCTGTAGTATAACTACATCATGGGGCTTAAATGTTCTCTTTGATCCTCTTCCCTGCAGGGAATACCTGGCTCTGAACGTATATGTGGCCCTATGCTATTACAAACTGGATTACTACGATGTATCACAAGAAGTGCTAGCTGTTTATCTTCAGCAAGTTCCTGACAGCACCATTGCTCTTAACCTTAAGGCTTGTAACCATTTCCGACTTTTCAATGGGAAGGCTGCTGAGGTATCTATTGGACAGCCCTCAGTTCACCTTTATTTTAGTTCAAGATTCTGTACAGGTTTCTTTTCCTTGTTATCTGTCTTAATCAGTGATGTTGATAAATGGCCTTTTCTTGTCATTGAGTCCTTCTCCTAGGAATGTCACCGATTTCAGTTTCCCTGGTATTAAGCCATCTGTCCGCATGTGTGCACAGCAGTCTTACAGTTTTCCCAGTCCACTTTTGACTGTGTCTAAATGTATTATCCAATTGCCAAAATCATCACACGAAAGTGGGAAGGCAAAAATCTTCCAGTGACTCAGCACTGCTGGAGATGTCCTTCTATCAGCTTTGGGGCTCATATGAAGCTCCACTTCTGCTTGTGTGCTTTTTTGTTTTCATGTTAAAATTTTGGAATGTCTGTAATTCCAGGCAGAGCTCAAGAACTTGACAGACAGTGCCTCATCATCTTTTGAGTTTGGCAAGGAGCTCATTAAGCACAATCTGGTGAGTAATGTATTTCTGGGATTTAATACAAACTGCACTAATTTGTAGAGCTGTTCTTGATGATTCATAAAATGGGGTCTTTTTTGAACTGAAGACCCAGTTGAATCTCTGCTGTCATATAAGTCCCATTCCACAAATCCTACATTTATAATTAGTGTGCCATCAAGGGTATTTTTTTTTTCCTGGAATTTTTCCCTGTCAGTTTGAGACTATGTCAAGAAAATAATAATGCTGTTGCTTTTACCCCCAAAGGCATATTAAAATAATTTATGTCCTGTAAGAGTATCTTAGCAAGATATTTTGTGGAGCCCAGTCAATAACAACACTGTAGAAACAAGTCAGAATGCATGACCCTGAACTCTTATTTAGTACAATGTGAGTGGAATTAAGATAACTGGGGGAAAATGGTCTTAATCCAAAAAGTACTTAACTCAAGGAGCTTATAGGGGAAAAGGTGCTGATGAAAGCCAAAATACTTGTGTGTTCTGCAGTAAGAGAGTCACTAATCACTTCTTAATTTTCCCTGCAGTGGTATTATTACTTTGCTGAACAACCAGTAACAGCAGATTGCTCTTATTTAATGATGGGTAGTTGCTCGCTTTGTCATTTTTCAAGAGCAGTCACAACAAGCTAACACTTTTTTCCCCAAGTGTTAAAACTGCTTTCAAATTGGACTTTTGTAGGTTAACATCCTTTATTTTGAATTTTTTTGTCTTTTTGCCAGTGGTTTATTAAATAAGTATGTTAGATTTTGTTGGAGGAACCATCATGTGAAACTGAAGTATAAAGAATCAACTGCTCCTGATCATCTGATCATTTTAGGATCTTGTGGCATTCTAAATAAATGTAGAGTTGTTAGCCTAATTTTTTCATATGAATACATCATAAGTAAATTGTAATTCTGTGTGTGTTCCCCTCACTTTTCTCTCAGACTGGATTATTCTTTAAAATCTTTCATATATAATGTATGACTGCTTTGCACTGCCAAAAGCTGAAATAAGTTAATCTTTACTGATGGATTACATACTTTATATTCTTCAGAATAAAGATTGTCACACATCATAATGTTGTCCCAAAAATCAGGGGTTGTTTGCCCGGTGTGCAAAATCCAGTCCACACGCTGAGTCAAGATACTTGTTTAATTCATTTCTGCACAGAGGTGGGTGCTAGGTGATAACTCCACAAAGCTAGCACACCTGGTTACAATCACATCACATACTTATACAGCTAAAAACGTTAGTTCTGCCTATCAGCCATACCCTCCTAATTATGATTGGTTAGGTCTCATCTCAATTTAAAGATAACAATGCACCTTAAATTTATTATGCATGCTCAGTGAGTAGGGGTCTTCATCTGGGGAGGGGGTGTTTTCAGCACTGGAGGTGCTGCAATTTTCCACATTATAATGAGATAGTTCACTTTAGGGGCATCAATGTGAGAAATTTTGCTGATGCCCAAGGATGTCTGTCCGCTCATTTTGACTGTTCCCTGGTTGTGGATTGGCAAGGATGTGCATCCTCTTATCTTGACGACTGTTCCCCTGTTCAAGATTCCTCTGATCCGCCTGTCTCAGTATCCTGTAACAAATCCTCGGAACAGTTAGTCATCAGTAATTCTATAGTTGTATTAAAGCAGGGATTTTGCTAATGCCTCTGCCACTGACCTTTTCCTACTGTTAATATAAGAATTTAAGGATTAATTTCCTTGAGTTAAGAGATCATAGGCAAGATTTTGGTACACAGTTATCAATATGCTGCTTTTCTCTGCAGGTGGTGTTCCGAGGAGGAGAAGGGGCTTTGCAGGTCCTGCCTCCTCTGGTTGATGTTATTCCTGAGGCAAGACTGAATCTTGTGATTTACTATCTCCGGCAAGGTAAATACACATTCCTCTGGCGCTTTCACAGCTACAGGGATGACATTCGTTCGTATAATCTCAACTGACTATTCCATTAAATGCTTCTTTTTTCTTTGCAGTAAAATGTAATTTATTACATTTTCTATTTCTCTGGAATATAGTGATATAAGAGTTCCCATGACTTGCAGAGAAGGGCTTTAATTGTGTGCAGTCAAATAAATCTACTTCAGCAAAGTACTGGAGGTTCTTGGGTGGCTGGAGATGCCTTTAGGGATGGTGGTGTTTATATGTTTATAGTGAGAGGACCTCTTATCTGCCTGAATATGTGATAATGGTAGGTGTATGCCCTATGAAGGCAAGGAGGACTATTTCTGTAAATATGGCACAAACAGATTATGAGCCAAAGTGACTGTGAGCAAGGCTACAGACTATGAACAAGACATTTCATTCCAAATCTTTTTTCTCTCCTTAGCTGGATGACTCCTTTGAATTTTATCTGGGTTTAGTTTCAGAGCCATTCCTGTTCTCCCACTGTGTTCCTTTATTCGGTAGTGGGTTGACTGGCTGAGTGATGGGTAGATGTTAACTGCAGTCATCTAATATAAAGTGATGTGATGGTTGCTTTTCCATCCACTGCTTTCTTATAAGTCTTGTGTTAAAAGGTGACAAAATACATTTTACGTTTAGATGACCAGAGCATCTGAAAGCAGAATAATGTCTGTTCTCACTTTTTAAATCAATAAAGTCCATGCCCGCGTTTTTTTTTTTTTTTTTCCAAAATGTTGAAAAATTACCAGGAAAAAAGGAGATATATTCTGTTGGCAGAAAGAAGTCACACCAATTTTATATTCTTTGCAGCCTAATAATTTTCATCAGAGAATTTGACCATACGTAAACATAGCACGTTGAAAAATCTCTGTGAGCTTTTTACGGTGTGATTGACTTGAAGTTTCAGTTACTGATTCTAAGTAACATCTTTATGATTTGTAATCAACAAGGTTGGTGAGATTTAATCTTTATAGTTGGAATAAGTTCTCTTTGGTTCTTAGTTGTATCCAGGACTGCTTTTTGTGTCTGCATGTGCAATTGAAACACTGCCTCATCTTTTCAGTTCAAGTCAGACCGTGACAAATTTTAGAATATCCCACCACTGGTGACAATTAGCAGTTACAGAAATTCTTATTGTGGCTAATATTGTGCAATAAAATCTAATTAATCTGACTTTGATAATCTACAAACATCACAGTCTTCTCAAAATACATCAACTCTTTTTTCCCTTTTTTTTTTTGTTTGATATTAGAGAATGACAATAAGGTTATTAAATTTCATAGGACATTATTTAAATTTCATCATGATTGTAAGTTAGGCATACATTCTCAAGTAAATACAAATGGTCACAATTGTATATTATTACAAGTACATTATCACCTGCTTTACATTGTATATATAGAGTTCTAGGTAAATAAAAGGATCACATTATGAGTCAGAAGGGACCTCTGGAGATGTCTAGCACAACAATTTATTCGAGGCAGGTCCAATTTGATGAGGTTGCTTAAAGCCTTGTCCAGACAAGCCTATAGTTAGAACTGCCTCTATTCCACTTTGTGTTCACTGCCTTTCATCTCACCTAAGGAATCTGTCTCCATCTTCTCTGTACCCTTCCATTAGTTAGTTGTAGACAGTGATAAGATCTCACTTGAGCCTTCTCCTCTGAAAGCTAAGCAAATGCAGTTCTCTCAATCTCTCCTCAGCCTTGGGAGCCATCAGGTGGGCTCACTCCAGTATTTCCGTTTCTGTCTTGATTGAAGGATCCCAAAACTGGACATAGTACTCCACATGCAATCTCGCAATACTATATATAATATTATCACTATAGGTAATATTGGTATTATTACCTATTTTCTTCCCCAATAATATTGTTAATAATAATGTATGTTTCAAATTAAGTTCTAGTTACACAGAAGCAAAGTACATCTTTTGCGTCATTTAAAAATCAATCTTGTTTACTCATTTGCTGTCAACCTTGCAGTAATTTTCGTTAGTTAGGCTTTGTTCTTCAATGTGATATGCAAGTGACTTGCACACTGACAAAGGAGGCCAAGGGGAATTAGGATTAAAACCTTTTTTCTGATTAGGCTAAATTTCCATTTTAAAGTCTTGCTAGTGTAGCAGCATCAGTTAAGAATGTGATAAATCATTACTTCTAATGACTACAGCTGTCTCTCCAAAACTTACAGGTTCTCTGATAAAGGTAGGCTTGTGTTAAGACCTGCTCTGGAGTGGTAAAGCACAAACATGCATCCCATTTTTTTCAACTCTTTAAGGTAGTGACTTTTAGCAGGGTTTGGGGCCAGGTATCTAGTCGTAATCTGCTCCAGTGAGATTTGCTAAAGGCTGCTGTTGGAGTCTGAAGAGCATAGTTCTGTGTTGATGTCTACACTGATGAAAGTAAGGGCTGCTGTCACTTTTTTGTTGGTGGTGGTGAGCTGAGCTAGCCAAAAATAACAAAAAAACCCTCATTTCTATTTAAAAAAAAAAAAAAAAAAAAAAAGAAGTGATGACTTTTGGTTAGTCTAGTACCTTGTGCTGGTTTACTACTTGACTGCTCAAGGGAGTGGGTAGGAAAGCAGAGGGATTGGGGCCTGGCAGTTCCAGTGTATATTGCTTTAAGTCACCCTGGAGTACTGTGCCCACAGTGGATGGATGGCATGTACTAGCAAAAAAAAAGGTTTTGTTTGATAAGACTTGTTTTTATGGGCAGCTGGTATAATGCTGTATTAAAAAAATCTTGCCAGTAAAAAGGGCATCTTCACTAGGCTGGATTACTAAGCAGACCATAGCACCAACATCTTTTTGATTTAGGTAAAGTTTAGGATCTTTTCAGCTTACTGATTTCTTGGATGGAAAGGAAGTTGTTTATTGAATTCAAACTTTACATTCTTGTTAGAATTAGGATCAAGTAAGAGCTGCTGGACAGATTTTGAAATATTGATAAAGAAAAGATGAAGTTTCCCTTCAAAATCATGTTACCTTATCCTCCTTGAGGGGTAACTAAATATGAGAAAAGACAGGAAGATAATGGATTTATTGTCTTGACCTTGTACTGTTCAGAAGGCAGCCTCTGGGTTATGAATAAGGGGGCCAAGTCATCTCTACAAGGAAAATTGTAGTAATAAAGAAGCTATTACTCACTCCATGTTTGTTATTTGAGTTCTAGAAAACCATCAACCATTGTGATATAAATTCACAATGATTTATAGTTACCTTTCTTCTCCTGTCTAAATGCTTTATTTCTTAGTCTGTGACTATTGGGGAATGTTGTGTAGAGGGCGAGTGATTTGTTCTAATACAATGTGCTATGGATTGTCATGCATTCTAAAGTCTGGTATTTCAGATGATGTTCAAGAAGCTTATAACCTGATTAAGGACCTGGAACCTACAGCTCCACAGGTAATTGGAAACTGATGTTATGGTACATAAAGACAGAGGTTATAAATTGGTATGAAATCTGCTACATAGGAAAACAGTATCCTGAGGACAGCTTGCCCCATTCCCACTTTTAAAACTCTTGTGTTTTCCATGTTTTTATCAACAATAGACAATGTGCATGCATAAAGTATTATATATGAGCATATATGAGTACTTAGCATGTTTATTGTCATACCACCTGGGGTCAATAAGAATTAAGCTCTATCGTATGCAGACTTGATTCTAGTGAGCTGACTGTTAGTGCACAGATAAAAGCCCTCGTCCAACTACAGCTACATGTCACTCCTGCCCTGGTGATGGTTACCATCCCTCAGATCTGCTAGCTTGGATGCTCATGTGGTTTGTCCTGAAGCTATTTCAATAAAGATGAGCTAGATTAGATTAAACAGTTTAAATAATAGGTCTTTTCTAATTCCATCCACTTTGGCTGCAAAGAGTGAAAACTGCAGCGTCCCCTCGTTGGTACTGTAATTTTCTTTTGTGGCTGTTCCAATATCTTTAGCCTCTGATTTATTCCTCTGCAGTTTATTTTCCAAAGGTCACATAGCTGGGCATGAAAGGGACCTTTCATGAGCCTGTGTAAGGATTAGATGGAGGGAGGGAAAAGGAAAACCTTGAGAACACAGATCTGGTGATTCTGTGCTGAGTAGTGTCTTCTGCTGTTGTTTTTCACTTGCGTTTTTCAGTATAGCAAGCCTTACTTGAACAGTTTTCTGCAGCTACCAGTCCTTTAGCCTCTGTTTTCCTCATATACATGCCTAATAAAGTAACATGATATAATTTTTTATCATATTTTGAAATTAGTATCTTTGTGCTTTTTTTCCATTTTCTCATTTGCACTTGGAAGGAACTCCCTGCTAAGACTTGCAGAACTACTTGTATATCCTCCTTCAGTTCTCAAATTTCATCTTTGTGATGATGTCTATAGGATAATAATTTGGCATCTGTAAGAGAGTTGGTGTGTAAAACGATTACTTGGCATACTGGCTAGTACTCTCATATTGTTTCCAGTTGAATCCATTGGTCTGTGTACGTATCTCTGTGTACGTATCTCTTTCTGGTTTTCTGTGTTTACGTCTGTGACAAGGCTGTCCAGGTTAATCAGGAGTACCTACTTCAATAGGTTTGTAGCTAGAACTCTTATTGTAAGACTTGAACAAGACAAATGAGTCTGTTACATGCTGAGAAAATTTTGCTCAGAGAAGAATTAAACTATAGTTGTACATCATAGTACAGTAGCATGACCACAGAGCACAAACCTCTTGATGTTTTTGCCCCGATGAGAAATGCTATGCATTTTGGAGCAAGGATGGTAGTGGTTATGGTTAACCAATGTGCATACTTGAAGTGGGATCTGTGCATTAATATAACAATATTGCACTTGATTATTGGTCATATGACATGAAGAGGGCATGATAGTATGTTATGGTGTTCCTTCTGGCGCATCATCTTTGAGCGTAAGACTTACCAGAAAACACGCTATGTCTTTGCATCCTACATATTTAGCAGAAGTGGCTACCTAACAAGTAGAATGGATTTCTGGGGGGTAACTTTGTACTACTGTGCTGAAGCAATATCATAGTATCATAGTAACCAGCTACCTATTAATCTGAGTTGGGATAGAGTTGAATTTAGGAAGAAAACAATGTGCAAGGAGGCTTTTATGTGTCTCCTGAAATCTTTACCTTGTATTCTCTAATCCTTTTCACTTTTTTTTTCAGGAGTACATCCTCAAAGGAGTAGTAAATGCAGCACTTGGACAAGAAATGGGCTCGGTGAGTGAAGCCCATGAGGTTCTCCAGCTTCTCCAACATTAGGATGTGAACAGATCTGTAGGGACTGGAATGGAGTGAAAAAGGCAGTCATTTCTCATTTAGACTGTAGGGTCTCTGAGTCTCTTAATCTTCTTCCATACACTACTCTAGTCCAGAAGGAGTGAAATTCAAATCTCTAGTGCTAGTTCTGACCATAAATCAAGCTGAATTTGGCTTCTCTGTCCTGCTTCCAAAAAACCTGTTTGCTTTCTAGAGAGTTCTTGTGTATCTAGGCACATACATTGGCACATTTACCTTTTCTGCTTTTACTTGAGCCCTGGGTAGTCTGTTAGTTACTCCTCATCTGTTCCTCAGAGCGTATTTTCATTGTGTATTGTAGCATCAACTGTGGAACTCATGTTCTTTTGGTTTTTGTTTTTCTTTTTTTACTTTCCCAGAGAGATCATCTGAAAATTGCTCAGCGGTTCTTCCAGTTGGTGGGTGAATCAGCCAGTGAATGTGGTATGTTTGAAATGTTCTTTCTCCGTTACGTAATCCTTATAATATCCAAATATATACCATCGTATCTTTGTCTAATTACTGTCTGTTAGCATGACTATTGCTAGGCGTTTTGTTGCTATAGTTTGAGTAGAAAATTTAATTTATAGTCTAAAACAAATTTGCAAGTTTAAGATAGAAGGCTCAGTTAATTCCAAACCTTACTATGTGAATTTGACTGGAAAAGAGGCTATACTGTAAACTGTCTTCACTGACACACGCTGTGGCAGCTTGTCTTTGTCTAACAATGCCCATTATAGAAACAGAAGATAACAGCCTAATTAGATGAAGTGTATGGCTGAAACCTCACAGGTACAAATCTAGAACTGTTAACGAAAGCCTATCAGGTATGTAGCGTCCTAGCACGGAGTGTGCCCTGGAACTGAAGGTGATAAAAACATAAAGAGGAATTTGACTACAGAGAGAAAGGGAGGCTCTGTAACTAACTCCTTGGCTGAATCAAAAAAACATGATAAAACCCAACAAAAAAATGAATGTTTTCAATCTTTACTCTTACTTATTCAATAATAGACCAGAACAAGACTTTGCCTTCCTCTCCCCTTGCCAGGGCAAACCCAAAAATCCCAAATCAAAAAAAGCCAGTAGTTGGAACACAGAAATTCAGCTGAAATGGGACTTCCCAGTTTCCTTTGTAGGCATTGTCAGTAGGACTGTTTCTTTAGGTGGGTAACTTTTATGCATGTTTGTGGTGCAACAGCTCATGGTCCTCAGAGACAGAATGCTGTCTCCTGTATCCATGGTAACTAAAGAGAAGGAGCTCAAGAGACAGAGTGGCAGCACTGATGAAACTTTCAGAAATACCTTTGAGCCACATTCTGTTCCCCTTGCAGCCCTTGTACTGTTGAGATCGTGCAGCAGAGAGCTTCACGTTGGAAGGCTGGAAGTGTTTCCATCGATGAACCCTTCTCTAACACATTCCTGTTGCACTGAGGCAATCACTTTGTAATCAGGATCCCAGCTAACAGGGAGAAGCAATATGAACTGTAGTAGTGGAGGATTTGGTTAGTGGGCATATAGCTAACTGGGTTTGTGATGCCATAAACTCACAGGGTGATTAATGCAATGGTGGTGGACCTCTTAATGCCTATAACAGTCATGCAGATGTGATGAGTGACCATAGCAATACACAGGGACAAAAATAATACAGAGATAGTCTGTGAAAAGATATCTTGAAAAGATAAATAGTAAATATATAGCCCAAAAATAAAATTGAAATTGTTAGGAAGAGAAAAGTCTTAATTTTACTGTGAAATATTACTAAACCCATATGCAAAACAAGATAGAGGGGCTGAGACTTGAGGTATGGTTGGGGGGGGGGGTTTAGGGGAGGTGCAGGGGGATGAGGAAGGGAACAGAAATATAGTCCAATTAGGAAATGAGCCTACGGGAAGGATTGGTTCCAACTAAAGGTAAATGGAAGCATTAGTATAGCAAGCGTATTACACTCCTGGTACTTCCATGTAAAAACTGCTTTGTTATCTTTTTAAAAACTTGTGGGAGAAAGCTGACATACAGAAGAGAACACAGCTCAAGGTAACTCCTCCTTTAAAGGCAAAAGAGTGTGAGGGTTTTTCTGTAGCCTAAAATGAAGGACAGGTGGAGGTCAAGAAACTGTAGATAGGAAATAGAAGAGGCAAACAGAGTTCAATTTAGGTAAGACATAACAAAAAGCAAACCCATAAAGACCAAATATGTAAGTGTTTTTATACAAAGATTAGATGTTTTACAATAAGATTAATAAAGTGGAACACCTGGTTTTAGAAGAGGAAGCTATAAACCTAAAATATTTTTAAATATGATAAGAGGAAGGTAACATGTAGGATATTGTCCCTATGTAATTTACAGTGGGCTATTACCAAATAGACGATGCCAGTGGAGAAATGGTTCTAAACATTATAGAAACCTTCTCTCAAAATAAAGTAAATATCTTTTCTTTATCAGTGAGTAACAGAAAATTGCTTTAAATTACGTGCTCAGATAGGAGACTCATCGTATGGAGGCTAAATTATTCACCAGCCAGCCTGGATGGGAACAGTGACTGGCATATTAAAGAGGTTAGAGGTTTTATATAGATAGATAATTAAATAATAGTTGGAGATTTCTATTCTGTCCATATTGACCTAGTAAGTGCAATGACATGGCATGATCTAGAGAATGAATTCTGAAATGCTAAGTTTTCATTTTTCTTAGAGAACACCCAGGTGAGTAGGTGACTTTAGACCAATACAGAGATTACATAGAACCTGGTTTGAAATTTTATGATGAAAATCCAGTTCTGTTACGGTGATTCAAGTGATCATATTCAAAATCCATGTGTTAGCAAATACCTCAAAAAATTATCACAGTACTAATTTCAAGAAGGGAAGCTATATAATAACCTTTCTCATTTCTAACAGAAAATTTTCAGTGAAGTAGCAGTGAAAAGGGTAAAATGTACCTGATCTAAACACTTGAAAGAACCTTTTGTTTCTTTAAAGAAAGGTCTTGTATTCTTAATTAATGAGCTATAGGCGACAAATAATGACATGACTAGGTTTGCCAATGGTACAAAATTACCCGTAGCAGGAAAAATGAAAGCTTCCACAATGATGAAAGCTGTGGAAGACTATTTGAGGCTGGGTAATATTATACAAATTAAATTTAGCTTTGATAAAAGCACAGTAGTATATGGGGGGGAAAAAGCCTTTAAACTACATTTGCAAAATTATCAGAAAAGTTGAAGAGAATCTTAGGAACTGATGAGTAAATAGAGAACAAAAAAATATTACTGTGTTGTATACAGATGTGGTTCCCTTTCTTGAATACTGTCTGTAGTTCTGGTTCTTACATTTCAAAAAATACAGTAGAGCAAGAAAGGGTAAAATAAAGACATCAAGGATGATCAAAAAAAGGGGATAGCTTCTTGAACAAGGAGAGATTAAATAAAGGAGGATGCATGGCCTGGAAAATTATAAACATCATAAATGACAAGGAGAAGAGGAATAGAGAAGAATTAGTTACTGTACCGTACGAAAAACAAGGGGCATTGAAATAAATCATCATGCAAGACAATTAAATCAGTACTAATTACTTTTTCACATGACACAATTTACTTGACATAGAATCTTGTGAGAATCAGAAAGTATAAAGAAATTCATAGAAGAAAAGTCCATTGGCTGTTTAACACAAATTTTTCAGTGATGATTAGGAAGTCCTCAGTGCAGATTGTTGGAAGCTGGGAGAAACTTCAAAGAAAGTGGCATTACATACCGCAGCATTGTATTATATGTGAAATCAGAATATATTCTCTCTATAGCTGTATATTCTTACTCACCAAGCTTCTGAACCAGATAGACTTTGGATTCAATATGATCATTTTTATGTTCTTATGTAACTTAGCATATTAGCTACTAATATGTGGCTATAACACTCAAGTTGTATATTTGTGGTCATTTTTGATCTGCTCCTTTGTTTTGCTGGTTTTAGAATGGAGAACAGAGTTCTCGCCGTTTGTATACTTAGGTTTTTGCTAAGTAGGCAGCCGTGCTATTCAAGCATGTAAGTCATGCTTCAGCACTTCCCACTGTGCCAATCCTTGCAAGGAGCTGGTACCACTAGATTTTCTGTTTAAGATCTTTATCAGGTTACTTAGCTGCTTTGCAGATTTATAATACAAAAGTAGGTTGTGCTCACTAGAGTGAGGGAATCCTGTGCTGTGTCTTTGCTCACAACTGGGCCTACGAGGCTCCTGATTTTAATGTGGATTATCAAAAATGAATAGATTAAAATGAAGATGTGGAATATTTTTTCAAAACAAGGTCCTGTCTTGCTGACTTGCCCTTGTTAACTGTAGAAATTCCGTGATGGCATTAAGAAAAAAGCACCAACAGACAGTTTAGGAAGAACACTAAGTCATGTATTTGTAAAGTCATTTGGAGTCATCAATTAAGCCCTTTGCTGTTTTTAATTAAGATCTCTATCTTGGAGGTTCAAGCAACATAGAGCAAACAGAGTTAGTGTGACAGTCCTTTCCAATACATGCACGTGTTTCATCTCATGTTGCAAGTTGTGTACTTCAAGGGGAGTAGGGACACCCAAAACAAATCAGCAAAAAACAACAACAAAAATACCCCAGGAAGCACTTATAGTGTAGGAGTCAATATTCACCCTCTAGCACAATAAATAACACCCAGAACAGCAGCTTTGTTTACTGGGGTTTTTTAAGCTTAGTAAAAATTCTTAATCCCAATGACATGAAATGGAACTGGCATTACAAAGGAGGATATAACTAGATCTTTATAGTTAATTCTTACTCTTTTCTCCCAGAGTCTCAACTGGGTGGAAAATTAAACAGATCAGATTTCTTAGATAAGGAGGAAATGGGGCAAGAGGAACGTTAGTGAAAGTAAATGAACATTAACATTTCCATTAAATGCAGTCTTTCTGGTGCTTAACATAAGTCTTACAAGTTACTCTAAAAACACTCCAAGTATAATGGAGAAAAACACCCATTTCGTCTTCAGCGGTCCTCTTTTGGAGCACGTCGGGAATATCTGGTGTTGAGTGGGAGGAATGAAACATTTCTTCTGGACTTTGTGCAGTCTTTTCTTTGAGGTATTCTTAGGTCACCCTAAGTAATTTTTTAAAATGAGAACTTTTTCCTCTTCCTGCATGAGTCACATAGGATGAATTAGAACTATAAAACTCTAGTTTTCCTGTCACTAGTAGTATTCATTGCTGAGTTGTATGAGGTTTACAGATGTTTTACTTGTTTGTTGTTTTTGATGAAATCTCTCACTAAAAGTATATGGAAGGATAGTATGCTGGGATAACAAAATTTTCTGCCACAATGTGGACATAAGAATAAATACTGAAACTTAGAAACTCTCCAATCATATATGGGAAAATTGTCATTCTAATATTTTGTTACTGTAATTCATTTTTACTGAAAAAGTATTTTCAGTTTTAAGTCTTCTGTGCATGCTTTTTTGCATTTTTTTATTTTGTTTAAAATAAATTGCTGTGAGTTTATGAACTTTCTGTTCCCAAGTGAACACTTCATAAATAACCAAGTAGTTTTTTTAAGTTGGAGAATGGAATGATATGTTTCAGACATAGATAAGGATGAATTGTCTCTATATGCAAATGACAGGACATTCAAGCTTCTAGTGCTAAAAGATTAAAAAATGAGAATATTGTGCTTTCCTTTGAAATCTGTATTGAGAACTTGCATAGTGCTTTCCAGAAATAATTACTACCCTACCTTATTAAAGGAGAATGTACAATTTTCCAGTGGAATGCTGTATTTTGTGCTGTGATATAAAGTCAAAGTATTGGTTCTTCAGATACATGAAATTTCTATATACAGAAAAGATATTTTAATTTTCTAGTGTGGATGGATTGATAGTAACTAACCTACAGGAGCAGATTACTTCAAGGCTGTTGGTAGCCTTAGGATCTTGTCTCCTGTCACCTTACCAAACTGCACAGAGCAGCATGTTCTCTAATGATCATCACACGTAGTGAAATAGGAGTGATTTGACATCACTTGCATTTATGCCTTCCCAGCTGCTGCTTGGGTTCATCCATCTCGGACCAATATCTACTGGTTGGGTCTTCAGAATCTCTAAAAAAGCTTTGGAATAGTTTTTCAGTAACACATCTTGCAATTTCAGAGTAGATGACAGCATAGTATGGTGGCAGCAAAGTTGAAAGTGACATGGATGACAGCAAAAGTTTACTGACACTTATTTGAACTGATAGGCCTAACTTATTTATGGCTTTATGACTTGTGAGCAATGTAGTAATCCCAAATGCATGGAAATGAATTTTCATATTGTATTTTATCACTGAATATTTTTCCTGTACATGGATTTTTTTTATAACAATATTTTCAGTGTATCAAGTTTACTTTCTTATTGGAGCTAAAATTAAAATATGTAGAGCTTTTGTCCAAGATAATTGAAAAACATAATATTAAAGAAAAAAGGCTAATGAGATTAGAATAACAAAGTCAGGCTTTGCATCAATTGTTGTTTTCTAAGAGTGAAAATAATTCACAGTAAAATTATGCTACATACATTGTGTCTTGGAAAAGGCTTGTTACTTAAACAATTTGTCTCTGTAGAATTTGCTGTTTAATACAGTCTTGCAATAGTTATTGTATGCTGTAGAGAAAACTGACAAGATGATCTAATAGTTTTTCTAACCTCTAGTATGGTCCTTTGCCTGAAAAGGCAAGTTACACTATTTTTAGAAGTTAGCTGTTTTCATAGTTGCCAGCAATCTTGGCAGTGACTTCCATTACCGTGTGATTTTTAAATTCTACAAATCTGCATTTCTGTTTTGAATTGTAGATACCATTCCAGGGAGACAGTGCATGTCCTCCTGCTTCTTTCTTCTTAGACAGTTTGATAATGTCCTGATTTACCTCAACTCAGTCAAGGTTAGTATTATTATTTAGTATTGGTAGTACCCTAGTGCATGGAATCACTACTTATGGAATTAGACTGTACTGTGTGAGACACTGTGTAAACATAAAAAGATACAGAAACACAACAGTAACAACAAAACACAGGAACAACTGTGGGACATAAAACTGGTCAATACGGCAAATTGATCTAGATGTAAAGAAGCAGTTTATAAGATAGCATTGTGCAGCATGCTGGGCATGATGGTCTTATCACAGCTGCAATTTAACCGTTATCAGGCTTCCTGGTGGCATCACCAAAGATGAGGAAGATAATTAAGGGAAGACAATGAAAAAATTTGCAGGTATTTATGGAGTGGGCAGCATGAAGGAAAACCCCCAAATGTTTTCTTAAGACATCAAATGAGTGATGTAGATTATTGTCACTGGCTAATAATTGTGGACATTTTAATGAACAAGAGTGTGTAAGGAAGATAGCATATGAAGGACTCTGAAAGTAATAACACTTATATTTTACAGGGAAAGCAGTCACTGAAGGGCTCAGATAGAGCGGTATTATCAAAGCAGTAAGCTATTATTTTTGCAGAAGTAATCTGAGTAGTACCCTGCAGGCAATGTGGCATTTTTCAAAGTAAGAGAAGGAGTTTGCGGTTATCATAATGAAGCATTACCAGTATTCAATGGATAAAATGGATATAATTTACAGATATTCAGTTATAAGTCAGATGTGAGGAAGAGAGAGAGGCTGGAGTGTGATTATAGGGTTAAGTGATTGCAGTCTTTTTCCAGTGATTTGAAACTAGAGTTGTAAGAACTCTGTATTTGGTAGGAAGAGGAACGAGAATCAGAAAATAAATTATTAGGGAGATACACAAGATGAACACAATTACAATGTTCTAAGGAGAGCTGAAGAAAAACATGTGGTTGTAATTGTGCCAAAAACAGCTGATGGGTGAAAAATGATGAAGGTGTACTGGTTTTTTCTCTGGAAAAGAGGTCAGTGAAGAAATCCCAAGTAGCTGTAACCACTGGAATGGCTCCACTGTAGTGGAATGAAGAGACGCCCCACCAAATTGGAGTCTGTGTGTAACTGAAGAAAAGGAGAGCTGGAACCTAACAGGGAGATTTGTTTTGCCTAACTTGAGCCATCTAAAAGTCAGATTTCTAGTTATTACTGATCATCTGGTCTCAGTCTATAGCCAATGGGGGCAGACGGTAATTTCCAGAGGAGAATTCATCCTGTGTATTTTTTATACTTATCTTAGAATGGAATGAGTCACCCCATAGAAATGCCCAGGTCTTCATTTCCTTTAAAAACTTCTTAAACAACTAGTTCCAACCTGAAAAGGTTGAAGTTAAATGCAATTACTCACCACCTCCAAGGTATGTGGGAAAACTTAGGAACAAGAGAGAGAAGAGTAGCATCTGGGGAGGCAAATGGAGTTGGTTTTAATATTGGAAAGCAAGGCTAGTGTTTGTAAAGGAAAGAGACAGAAAAGAACAAGACAGTAAACAGAAATTAGGAGGGTGAAAGTGGGCAACAGAGTGATCAGAGGACAGGTCAGAGTCCTGAGGCAAGAGTCTTGGAAACAAGAACTGAAGGGAAAACAAAGAGCACAGAATGCTCAGTGTTATTTTGTAAGATGTTAGTAAGAGCCTATGCAGAGGGAAATATAGGTGAGGAATAGATCTAATGTTTAAAAACTGTCAGGAGGGAAGTAGAAATAGTGTCAGGTACAGGTATGCAAGCCTTCAATCCTGCTATATTTATCAGCTAGGAGGAGGGGCATTCTTGTCAGATCTGGGAGAAATGATTTTATTGTGTGTGCATAGGAGGGGGGAAGGGTTATCTGACAGTTTGGTTGGGTGTTTTGGTTTGTTTTAAAAACTTTGCTGTTTTGCTGAAAGTATGTAGAACTACTGTCACACATTGTAACATATGTATGTGGATCTCAGCTTGCAAGCCGGAATTGTCCACATATACATGCTTTTGGCATCAGTAACTATGTATCTGTTTTGATTTGACTTATATTTAGGCAAAGATAATAAATTTTAAAAAAATATTCCCTTGGTTTTCACAGTCGTAATGTGAATGCATTTATTGATTGATGCCTTTCATTGCTCCATGGTGTACTCTTGTTTGAGATACTGACCACTGCTTCCTCAAATGTGGAAAGAACGGTGATCCAGAGAATAATTAGAAATTTAAATATTGTCTTAAGAGATTTAGAAGATAGATATTATTTGCTGTACAGGGAAGTTAAGAAAATAAAATCATACAAAATGAGGATTAGAATAAACAAGGTAGATTTGAAACCTCCATTTGTATTAGGAGAGACTGAAAACAACATACAGCTTGCTGGAATTGCAGCAAATTTACAATGTCTTTTTGAAGAAAATGCATTTTGTCCCTCTCAAAACACAGTTGGTTTATGGAACTCATTGTCATAGTTCAAGGTAAGATTGAGGTTGCAAGTTTGGAAGGTTTTATAGATTGTATCTAGCAAGTTGCAAAATTATCAAGCTTAAGTAAAGTATCTATATGTTAAATTCTTGAAGGGAATCATAAATACTGGTAATTTCAGACATACTGCAGTGCATAAATAGCAAGAACTAAGGACAAACGTTTCCTGCCTACTACCACTTTCCTTGCATGGTCCTTCTGAAGAGTTGATCATTCTTACATTTTTTAGCTGAGACTAGCCACTGCTCAGATTTATTTCGGTCGTTCCCTTTCTCTTCAGGTCACAGGGATGCAAATAATTCTTCCTGTACCACGTTACAGGCAAAGTTTAGGTGGCTTTACAGTCAACTTTGTGTTTCATTCACAGGTACAAACTTCAGTAGAATCTCTGAAGCTCTTTAAGTGGAGCTGTGCACTCTGTGAAGATTGTTTGCATGATACTATCTCAGGAAACACCACCTTCATCCATGATTGATTAGAGCTGCTTTAGGCATGAGAATGTCTCAAAGGACATCTTATTATAAATGTATTGCCAGCTGCCCTGAGGGTGACATTATAATTCTGAGGATCAGCTAAGATGACAAGCTGATTCAGCCTCGGCTGAGTTCTGACCACAAGGAATGCTTGATTGTTCAACTAGGTATCTGAGCATCTCATCGAAATGGACATCATTCAGAGCACAGTTAGTTTTATGAAAAGACTGAAGATCACTAAAAAGACCACAAAAGAGTACATATAATGTGGTTTAAAAAAAAAAAAAAAAAAAAAAAAAAAAGAAACAAAACATCTAGCTGCTGTGAATGTGTTGCACTATCAGCAGCACTAGATTTCTGCTGGTTTTGTTTTTGCAGCAGGTCTGGTCTCTAGCACTAATACAGCCAGGATAGAATGACACATTTTTTGAGTTTGATTGCTGACAGTTTCTTTTCTCTTTTCATTCAAAAATACTATGGTGGGCTATTTGAACAGAAAAAACTATTCAAGCAGTAAAACCAGCATCTTGCTCACCAGCTTTGCTTAAGCTGGGACTTGTGCTGATTCACATGAAACTATCATTGAGGAAGAAAGCTGTAAAGTGTTGTAATTCTCATATGGTGAAACCAGTTGTTTCACCCTAAGGGTACTGAAATGCTTTAACAAACTGAGCTTAAGATTCACCCGGTTGGTTCATCCTCATGCTTTCACATAGCTTGCTGTATTTGCTGGCGTTTGGACCCTAACATAGACTATCTGAGTGAAACATAGATGTCTGGCAAATGGTGGCAACCCCCCACCTCTCCTCTCAAGGCACTAGCTTGATGTGTGTGGGTAGAGTGGATCAGTACCCTTTGACTGCCTGTGACAGGGAAGGGAAAGATTTTCCTCTAGTGTCCCTACATCATGAAAGAAGATAGAGAGCACTGGGAAAAGGTTTTGCCCCATGCTTCTTATGTCTTTTGTGCAGTCCCAACTGTGCTTTTTACCTCCTCCTCACTCTTTGATGAGGGAACATAACAAAAGTTTGATCTTCCTACACAAGTTGTTTCTTTTATAGGTGTTACATAACTAAAAACATTTCTTCTTCCACACACCTTGTTGTTACGCAGCCAGGAAGGCTTTTCTTACAGTCACTGTAATGGATAAACCACACTGCTTTTTTCCCATGCTCTTTCATAAGCATTGCACCTCTCCTCAGCAGGGATCCTCAATCTCATCCACACTTGTAGCTGTGGTATTGTGTTCCACCTTACCTCTACCAGGTCTATGGGTGCAACAGTGTGGGACAGCACTGAATGTAGAACACACTCAGCTGACTTTTGGTCATCTGAGTTATACTTCAGTCTGGACATCTGACCATGATCAAATCTAAGCTATTTGGGTCAAATCCAAACATCAAGCTAACCTGTACCTAGAGTTGTATTTCCTGCTTTGGTCCATGCAGCTTTTCAGAATAGATACAGCTAGATCAGCTAGATCAACCTGATCTGTCGTTAACCAGCTGCGTCCAGCCTAATATTATAGGAGAGAAAAACTTAGTGTTGCACTTCAGAAAGAGAGAAAAGGGTGCCTGTAAGCACGATTTGAGTTTAGGGAAGTCCTATTACACAGTGTGCTGCCTGGCTACAGCCCAGTACTGTGGCTCCACCTCCATCATGTGATCCAGTGTGTCAGACTAGCATCACGTAACCAGATCCACAGGATCTCTTCATGCACCTTGAGAAGTCTGGGAAAAACAAACTGTTCATCTCCTTAAGCCATTAGGGAGTCAACTGCCTATTTACCACCGTAGTGGTGAAATAAGTGCTTGGGAGGTGGAATAGACATGGCAGCACAGCATGTCTTCACATGTCCAAAGTGAAAATTATACCAACAAATGCTGCCACTGCAATTTTGAGCTTGGAGCATTCTCCAGATCTCTCATGGTTAATATTGTGGAATGTTCCAGCTGTGTTTGTAGTCACGAATGTAGGATGGAAAGCCAGTCCACAATTTTCTACCCACTGTTTATAGATGCCGTATGTTCATAATGTGGGTTTTTGTTTTTCCTTCCCATTGTCTTGATATAGTCTGACTCAGATTTAGGGGGGAATATTTTAATGTTGTTATACCATGAGAGGAGGGGTTTTTGTTTTATTGATTTGGGTTTTGTCTGTATGGCTTATTTTCCAGAGTTACTTCTACAACGATGACACTTTTAACTTCAACTATGCCCAAGCCAAAGCTGCCATGGGCAATTTTAGTGAGGCTGAAGAGGTATGTGTTTACTTTCTTTAAAAAACAACAGTGGAAACATTTCCCACATACTCCCCTCTTTCCTTCCTTTTCTCCCTCCAGATCTTCATGTTGGTTGAAAATAAGCAGTTTGGGTGGAATGTTATCCTCCCCTTCTTAGAGGAACTGAAAATCTCAATGAACACTATTAGAAAAGATTATCTTGCTAATCTTGTAATGTGAGGTATATGAGGAGTCATGCTGCTTGTGGTGCATCACCAGAGTGCTTGCAGCTATCTCTAATTGATCAAAGAATACCCTCTTAATCAGATTTCCTATGCTTTGTCTGGGATCCCAGGCAGTCTTGTTGTTCAGACTGACTAGAGCATGCTGAGTAAAAGACAGTGAATAGTTAAGAGCTTCTAGGTGTCCCTAGAAATTTGTGTTTAAAAAAAAATTCTTCCTCTGGGAGATGTGGGAGGAAAAGAGGAAGTGCTCACTATCTTATTCAGCAGCATCCAGATGCAGCTGGAAGAGATTAACTTCTACACACAGCATTTTTTGTCTGTGTGCAGTAGAAACTTAATTACAACTAAAATATGCAAAAGCAAATAGCTGTTATGAAGATAGAAGCAACATTTTCCACAAGACCAGAAAGAAGACAAGCCAGAAAGAAGAGGGGAAAAAAAAAAAACCAAAAACCACCAACCACGTAGTCTAAAGTGAATCATATAGGTTTGGTTGGTTTGGGGTTTTTTTTGGTTTTACTGTCTTTCTAACTTTTTAACTCTTTGGGTTTCTTGACAACAGAGCCCTCCTTGTTGTTTTTTTTTCTGTTTCGGTGCCCACCTCCTTAATTTCTGTGCCATGAAATTGCATCTCTCTTTAAGAAAAATATCTGAGACTGTCAGGCAAAATAGATATGTATTTCAATGTACCCACCTTGATTTAGTTAGCTTAATGAAAACGCAGGTGAGTACCTTCAAACTGTTCTAGCAGGCTCTGCTGATAAAAATGATAATGCTATAAATAAGCTTTAGCTGCAGCCAGGCAACAAAGAAACGCAAAGGTGTAAACTGCTGTTAATTCACATTTTCCCTCTTACGTTCTTACAAATGATTCTATATAAATTTGTGTTAATGTAGCTGATGCATTTAGATAACAGGATTATGTAATTAAATTGATTGGTCTGTCCTAATGTCTGATCTTTACCTGTGATGACAGTTTCATATAAAGATCACCCTTCCCCAGCGTCTCATAACCTTGTAAAATATCTCCATGTATAGCACTTATTAACTTATTAAAAGCTTACCTCCCTGGACATAATGAAATAAAACCTATGATAAAGTGCTACGTACACTGATAATGCTGCCCCTTTTTTTTTAATGTATTTCTTCCCCACCCCCAAAATTAGGGGGTCAGGAATGTTTAACCAATAAAAATGTCAGTAATTTGTGGAACTCATTGTTCCAGTATGTACATCTGCTGCTATAAAGGTATTTTGAGTTTTGCCAGTAGCATCTTAGTGTAGTTACAGATATACCTACAAAGAGGCATAAACAGCTTTTTTTTTTCTGAGTAAAGCCAGAATACATTTTAAAATGTATAACTTCCCCCCACGCACTCCTTTAGATGTAGAATTTAATAAAGCTGTATTTGTACAGTAAGTTACAAAAGACTAATGTTTTGCCTCGGAACCCTACTGAAACCAAAATGGTTAGAAATGGCTTCTTGCTGACCCGGAATGATCTCTGACATGTATGGGGAGGAGAGGCTCATATATATGTGAAACTTCTGGTATTTCAAGAAGATGCTAATGTAATTGCTTGCATTGCTTTCTAAACAAACGCATTCCAGATAGCTTTTCCCACAGGCCCAGTGTTCCTTTGTGCTGTTTGTGTTGCATGGCCGCCCACTGGCACTTGTTCAGAGCAGGCCGCACCCTCCGCACAGCTTGGCGTTTTGCAGCTGCACAAGTCCCCTGATAAGCATGGCACTGTTTGAATCGTCCACCTATTTGTACCCTAACTCTTCTCCTCAAGCAGTTGTGCGTGTGGCTTAAGCCTTAGCTGCATGTTGAAAGGAGGCAAGTCTGCCTTCTGTTTGTTTAAAAGTACATGCATGTATAATCTTTTCTTTTCCTTCTTCCTGCAGGTGTTCCTTTTGATCCAGAGTGAGAAGATAAAGAATGATTTTGTTTACCTTAGCTGGCTAGCTCGCTGCTGTGAGTCACTTTACCCTCAACATTGCAGAATACAGATCCTCCTCTATTGCATCAGTCTTGGCAATCCACTCTCTTAATTGAAATTAATGTTGTAGGTGGATTCAGGACTGTGAAAGTGAAAAGCTGATTGCACTAGTTATAGTGTGGGTGGTTATTGCACCTTTCATACATCTGGCTTTAGTAAACAATTACTACTTCAGTGCAGCGCTGTTACAGTTCCATCAGTGCAGCTTCGTCCTAAACAGTGAACCTTTTTCAATTGCCTACTCAATTGCTTGAGTGAAGATTTTCTGTCTTAAAAGACTGAGTTACAACTCTAAGATGTTCAGAGTAAAACATAAGACAGAATCATCTATACTGGGTCAGACCCAAGGGTCTGTCTAACTCCAAGAGCAGCCAATATCAGATGTCTAAGGAAAAGAAGAATCAGGCGAGCATATGTGGTATTTTTCTTCCTACCGTGCTATTCTTTGCACTGCCCAAACTCCTGTGCCTGAGGGATGTCCTTTACAATCTCCAGCATGTTTTTTCTTCCATAAACTTTTCCATTCTTCCCTTGAAACCAGAAAATTTTTGCTATGTTTAATATTCTACAACAAATTTTATGTAGTATTTCTGAGTCAGTTTTTACAACATTGCAGACTATACCTCAGTACAGATATAGCTGCAGCGCCACATGCAAAACAGTATAGAAGTGGGCTTTTCTAATGACTCAAGTCTGAGACTCCCTAGGCTAATTTGTTTTCCTTACAGTGCCTCAATACAAAAATGTTTTCTTATCAAACAATTTTCAGTAGTTGTACTTGGAATGTAAATATGTATGTTTTGGGACATTATACCATATCACAGATGGGGTCAACATCTCTAACTTGATCTTTCCAGACAGGCATAGCACACCTATGGATGCCTGTCTATGACTCTGTTTTAGGGTGTGCCAATTTACTTCATTTTTCATTAAGCTGCCGTACCTGGCTGTGTTTGAGTGTTTTATATGTGAATGTTTTATGTGAACCTTTTTGATGAGAGAACTACTGTTGCAAAGGGCGATCATGGTTGTTCAGTAGACAGTGTTCATCCCTTTGATTCTGTGCTAAAGTAGTTCTTTGACATACATCTGAGGATGTAGAACTCTTCAAAGGTGCTACTTATTATGCAAGAAGTGGAACTAACACTGTTACCAATTCTGTGTTATCAATTAATAATTTTCTAGCTCTTTCATAAGAG